AGGGCAGCTGGGTGTTCCTGGAGGCTAAGTGTGGGAATGTCCTCTTCCCGGGAGAGGATGTCTTGCTCTGCAGTCTGGGCTCTGCCGGGAACCCCTCATCTCCACCCGGCACCTGGTTGCCACTTTGACTGAAAGATCCGTCCTCCAGGGCCACAGCCCCCAACCCTATGCAGAATCTAGGACCCAGCCCCGCCAGGGGAGCCCATCTGAGCCAACCTGGCTGACACTCCCTCCCTAAATCCCTTCCTCCCGCAGGCATGTCCCATGAACATGTACCCACACGGACGCAGCGGGCGGACCGTGCAGGAGATCTGGGAGGATTTCTCCATGAGCTTCACTCCCGCTGTGCGGGAGGTAGTTGAATTTGCTAAGCACATCCCTGGCTTCCGTGACCTTTCTCAGCACGACCAAGTCACCCTGCTTAAAGCTGGCACCTTCGAGGTGAGTGATCTTTTATTCTCCCTGCCCTTGACCTTGGGAAGGATCCAGCAGAAAGACTTGGCATCTGGGGCAGGCAGGGACTTCGAAACCCATAATCTTTGTCTTTCTAACCTCTGATTGGAGGAAGGAGCAGAACCCCTCCTGCTCCTGCTGGTGGATGGCTGGGACTTCCGTCATTTCAGCCAGCATCTAATCACAACCCATTATATTAAAATCACGCCTCAGGCGACATTGCTGCCACCATCCGAGACAGGAGCAGATTAACTTTGGTGAAGTGTCTTGCCCAAGGTCACAGGTAGTGACCGAGTTGAGACTCAGATTCAGCCAGTGGGATGCTCCCTATCTTTCCACCTGGGCCCCCTCATTGCCCATTCAGAAGCAACTCCCACTCTGCTGAGAAATCACAGGCAGCACCCCAAACCCTCTGGCAAGCTGTAGGGACGATTTGGCACGTGCCCTGCCCACCCCACCCAGGATGACGGCCCCCTACCCCCCCTTGCCGACTTCAGGTGCTGATGGTACGCTTCGCATCGTTGTTCAACGTGAAGGACCAGACGGTGATGTTCTTGAGCCGCACCACCTACAGTCTGCAGGAGCTCGGCGCCATGGGCATGGGAGACCTCCTGAATGCCATGTTCGACTTCAGCGAGAAGCTCAACTCCCTGGCGCTTACCGAGGAGGAGCTAGGCCTCTTCACCGCGGTGGTGCTTGTCTCTGCAGGTAGGTCAAGCTCTCGCCTAACCAGGGGGAGGAGGCAGACGCAGTTCAATTCAACACACCTTTTATGGAATACCTACTCTACGCCAGGCCCTGCACCGGGCACTGGGGATACAGACATGATTCAGACACAGTCTAGCTTGGGAAACAGACTCATGCCTGACTAATTATAAAACAGTGAGATAAGTGTCACAGTAGAAGCATAAACCAAAGAAGCACAGACAACTATTTCTGCCTGGGGGAGCTGGGGAAGGAGGTGACACTTGAGTGGGGCCTCAAAGGACAAGTAAGAGGTTGCCAGGAAGAGAAAGGGGAAGGGTATCCAGGCAGAGGGAACTACAGAGCAAAAAGCCAGGGAGCCTGGACATGGCTGGCCTGTCCAGGGAAGGGAAGCGGCCTTAGGGGATGGGAGGTGACGAGCCCAGCATTCAGGCCCCTCCTGCTCTTGGGCAGAGGCCTGGGAGAAGGCGTTGGGCTCCTTCTCCTTCCCCGTGGGCCCTCTGAGGGGCTTCAGGGAGAGGCTGCTTTGCCTGCCAGGTCCTCGCAGACCTCCGGGTCCTCGTCAGAGGAGCTCAGGGAGCCTGCCTCACTGCTGTCGTCTTCCCCACAGACCGCTCGGGCATGGAGAATTCCGCTTCGGTGGAGCAGCTCCAGGAGACGCTGCTGCGGGCTCTTCGGGCTCTGGTGCTGAAGAACCGGCCCTTGGAGACTTCCCGCTTCACCAAGCTGCTGCTCAAGCTGCCGGACCTGCGGACCCTGAACAACATGCATTCCGAGAAGCTGCTGTCCTTCCGGGTGGACGCCCAGTGACCCGCCCGGCCGGCCTTCTGCCGCTGCCCCCTTGTACAGAATCGAACTCTGCACTTCTCTCTCCTTTACGAGACGAAAAGGAAAAGCAAACCAGAATCTTATTTATATTGTTATAAAATATTCCAAGATGAGCCTCTGGCCCCCTGAGCCTTCTTGTAAATACCTGCCTCCCTCCCCCATCACTGAACGTCCCATCCTCCCCTATTTAAACCTCTCTCCCTCTCTCTCCCCTTCCCTCCCGCTCTAGCCCCCTGATTTGTTCTGTTCCTGTCTCAAATCCAATAGTTCACAGCTGAGCTGGCTTCTGTGGTGTGTGCTCGTTTGGGGGGCGGGGTGGAAATATTGCCAAAGCTGGGGGGGGGCCCCACCTCTCCATCTGGTCAGTTTGGGGGATGGGTACTCTGCCAGCAGATGGGAGGATATAGGGAAACAGCACACAAGTCTAAGGGGGGTGCCCAAGGGGGTTATTTTCATCATATATTTATTACATAAATATATAGTAAAATAGACGAGCAACAATTACCATAAAAATATCTTTCTTTAAAATCCTGACCCAAAACACAACGGGGTGAAAAATCGCACATAACAGACATACTGATTGTCAATGTGGGGCAGGAGTAGGAGCCCCTCAAGTCACCCCTACCGGTCCCACCCCTCCCTGGGGAAGGGACCTACCTCCTTCCCTGTTTCTGGCCACAACCCCCCTCCCCCCACCCCAGCACCAGCTTCTCATACATTCAGTAGCGCCTCTGGGCAGTGTCCCCCTCCCCCCACCCAGGAGTTCCCAGGGCAGGAGTTGCTGTCCCCCTTATGGACGGTGTCTCTGTCACACGCCCTGCCCTCTCCCAGCCCTGCAGACCCGCCACCAGGGGAAGGGGTAGGGGCTCCTCCCCCACCCTCCCCAAGTCTGAGCAGGGAGGAGGCTGGATGAGGTATGTGTGTTATGAGTGATGGGAGGGGGAATACTGAGATGGAGAGGCGAGTGGTGGGGGCGGGGTAGTGGTCATGGCTCTGGCACCCCCTAGTCCTGGCCTGGCCCCCTCTTCCTATTCCCAGCAACCCGTCCTCCCACCAATACTGCACCTGCTGCCCCACCCTGCCTGCCCTAGTGCCCTGGGCCAATACTGGGGGAGGCATGCTAAGCACCCACGTCAAGGCCATCCCCCTCATTAGCACCAATGGCCCCCAGGAGAGGGCCCGGTCCCCCACTTCCACAGCAGGGACTGGGACAGCTGCCTCTCTAGAGCAGGTGCGTGGCACTCCTGAGTCTCCCTGGCTCCTCCACTACCACATGTACTCACACATTCACACAGAGAAAAGCACACAGACACCCCACATCACCGAGTGGGAGGGGCAGGGGCCAGGGAGAAGGGGGATCACAGCTCATATGATTGGGGAGGGGAGGAGGAGTCCCGAGTGCCTGCAAGAGGCCAAGGCTCTTCAAGGCCTTTTCTCCACTGTGTCCATGGCTGAGAACAGGGATGGAGGGGTTGGGGTGGGGATGGAAAGATGGGGAGACGGCAGACAGGTCAGGAATTCCACTGGGCCCCAGGCCAGGGAGGAAGGTATGAGAGGGCCTACCCATTGGGGCTGGAGTAATACAGGAGCGGGGACCCCAGGAGAGAGAGAGCAGATAGAGACAAAGACAGCACTGGCAGCCCAGGGCCCCGAGGGTGGGACAGGCACATGCACAGGTGACAGCGGGTGCTCCTTCAGGCCCTCCACCCCATTGGAACACCTGAACGGTGGGGGAAGGACACTGCCCTGCAGGCAGCATAGCATTGCCTTCCCCTGTGCGTGTGTGCGTGCATGTGTGTGTGTGTGTGTGGGTGCGTGTGTGTAGGGGGCTGTGGCAGGCTGAGGGTCGGGGGGGTGGCAGGTTCCCCACTGCTTAAGACATTTTGCCCCAATAGTGCAAAGCGGAGGAAGCCCTGGCACCCCACCCCCCGCCCCCTGCCCATTCCCCATGGCTTCCGGGGGCATCTATGTCCACCCATCCA